TTATATGATGAAATTTTCAATTATTTATTTGTCTTTCAATTGACATTGTAATTAAGAAAATAAAGATGCTCAATATAACTTCAGATAAAAATATGTTAAATATGCATAAATTAATTTTATCTTTATATTAAGGCATTTACATTTTAAGGCATTTACGATTAGGCTCAAAATATTTGAATAATTATATACACAAAAATAAAATCAATTTTCTTTAAAAAATTGAAATATTTTAAATTATAAAAAAATTATATATAACTAAATTATAAAAAAATGTTAATAACACAATAAATAAAATATATTCTGACATATATATATATATATGATATAATATATAAATGTAGTTTCAAAAATTACATTGAATGTAAAATTGTATAAATAATATAAGAATAATATAATGTTAACTATTTTAATTAAAACAGAATATTTATTGAATTTAAAAAATTATTTAGAAATTTTTATATTTTAGAAAAAAAAATTTTTTTTATAAAATATAAAAACTTCTAAATAAAAAAATTATTATTAACTAAAAAATTATTAAAAACTAAAAAATTTTATCTTATTTGATGCATATATGTACTTCTAACTATCTATAATTATTGTCAGAACAAATTAATTAATATGTAGCAATCAATAAGAATCTAATTTTAAAAATAAAATAAAAAAAAAAATTTCTCATAAAATAATTACATTCCATTTATAAAAAATTATCACATATTTCAAATTATAAAATTATTAAAAATTATTAAAAATACAAAATATTATAATTCAACATTATGTTTAAAAAAAACTTAAATAATACTATTATTATATATATAATTATTATTTTTACTTCTATTCTATTCTAATTAATATTTCAAAAACATTAGTATGATACAAAAATGTTTTTATAATTTATAATCATTATCTACGTATTGAGCTAATGCAATTATTTTAATTTTAAATAACTTTTAAATCTTTTATATCTTTAATGATCGTCCCTCATTTAAAAATAAAAATTACAATATATAATAAATTAAATATTCATATTAAGAAATATACAAATAAATATAAGTTTAAAATCAAGACTATTATGTATTAAATTAAATCATATGTAACATATACTTTCAACAATACATATATCAATAACACATATCTTCAATTCAATAATGAATTCTAATTAGTATTTAATACAAAGCAGACTATAAAATATATTAATTATATCTTTCATTGTAATAATATTCAGTATATTAACAATTGTGATACTATTATTACTAATATATAATTAATGAAATTTAAATAAGTCTATGCTAAATAATTCATATATATATATATATATATATATATACATATTTTATAATTATACAGAATGTTAATATATTTATGGGAAAATCAGTTTGGAAAATCAATTTTAGAGACAAACTCTCAAAACAAACAAATTCAAAAATTAATATAAGAATGTTGGTTAAGTATTGTTTATTAAATTATAATTACTTAAGTTTGTGTTAGATAAAATAAGATAAAAGTATAAAATAATAAAATAAGATAGTAAATAAAATCATTCTATATGTATTACATTATTGCTTTATCTAATGCAATTTAAATTGCTTATAATTTAATAAATGAATTTCAATCAAGATTTCTATATAACAATTTTTATGTTTGTTTTAGTCTCTAAAATCAATCTTCTAAAAGTATCTCATAAATTAATAACATTCT